GCTGATGAGTTAAAGAACTTCTACGGTCCTGTCCAACTCTATAGCTGTTGTTAGGTTTGTCATATTTGTATCTTATTATTAACAAACTTGTCAGCCACATTTAATTAATACCAATTTATGGCTTACAGCGACCTCTTGTGGACATTATGATAATGAATATACTAGAAAAGCGCACACACACACTATAGCCCAATATGTTCAGTCCTGGCTGCACTGAGTTTGAATTAAGACTGACAAACGATCAGGTGCACTCAATGTTTGTTAAAGTCCCACAGACACGTTAAAGACAATTACAGGGGGCGCACACACATTAAGCTGGTTTTATGGTCCCACAAATTAGCCTGTGTACGCTTTTTGTTGGGGGGGGGTCACACAGCCCAGATGTACTCAGGTTCAGTTCTACAAGATCCTGACTGTACATTGCCGGAAGCCGATGGTGTAAACCAGTTATGAACGTTCACTGTTTGGCAAGTGGACCGAAAAATTGCTTGAAGTGATACCGGAGTTCACCGAGAACAAGAGAAGCTAAAATACGTCAAAGATCAAAAACTAAAGCACGAAAACGACAGACTGTGACTGTAGTGACACTATTTTTAACACCCGGGAGCTTTTTGTGTGTTAGCACTTCGCTCTGCTCCCCGGCTGGCTGACAGACCACCAACAACACGAGCAACAGACGCCAACGACGGTTTTATACCGCATAATGTGTGCACTGCCACTATTTCAACAACAGAGCTCACTTTAGGCAGATGGATAGTCCCCGCAATAGTACAGATAGCAAACATGCTAACTCTACGATAAAACAAGGAAAGACTCCACCCAGCCTCATGATGCGTTCACGGACACAAACAAATGGAATTGACATGAAACTAATTATTTGGGAAGTACTGGTAAAATGTAAACCACACTTATACGTTTTTCATTGTTGATCTCAGGGGGAAACAACATTTGGTTTATCAACCTCACCTGCGGATACAAACATGAAGACACCTACAAACAGCAAAGTTGAGCGGAGTGACGCAGTTACAGCAAACATTTCCGTGTTCTCGAGAACTACTGATCCAACACCAAGTTTGTTCTAAATATCCTAAACTGATGGTGTTTTCAGTCAATAAAAGACTATTACTTTGAGACGTAAATATAAAAGATTAAATATAAAGTTTAAGCAAAGCTAAGAATGTTTGTCCTTTAGCCACCGCTCGTTGAAACTACACACTTGCGATTCAGTGTATCGAAGGTAGTCGCATTAGAGTGACGTCAGATACGCTGAGCTATACGATCAAAAAGTGAGTCATAAGAAAAGAGGTGAAAGCTAAACCAGGTCTGAGGCTGTGTCCCAAT